GCAGGAATAAAAGGGCCTTTCCCTGCTGCCTTGGTTCACATTATGCTTTGCTCTGTCTCCCTTGCAGCTGCGTAAATGAGTATGGAAGATTATGATTTCCTCTTCAAAATTGTTTTAATTGGCAACGCCGGTGTGGGGAAGACCTGCTTAGTCCGTCGCTTCACTCAGGTAAGGTTGGCCACCTCTTGGACCTCGGATGTTGGGGTGGGGACAGCACTGACGCAGAGCACAGAGCTTGTGGCTGAGCACAGAGGGCTTTGCTGGCATCACAGCTCCATAGCATTTTGTTGTCCACGCTCTTGGTGCATGCATCACACTGGCACAAGCAGCACTTCTACCTAATGCTCTTCTTGGCCCTGTTGGGAATCTTCCACTGGAGAAAGCTCATCTCTCTCTGAAGATGGAAAGTACCCTCTGAAGGCCACTGGGACAATTCCTCCCTGATTTGGATGTGCTCTCAACTGTTAAGGAGCAGCAGGTGTCCTGGTGTGCTTCTATGTGCCTTCTCTTCCCTATTCCTCACTGCATGAAGCTCTCCCTTTTATTGGTCATTAGTAGATAATTAAATAATCTGGGTCCTGCGCTGTCAATCCAGTGTCTTCTGTTAAACACCAGACCTTTTTTTCGTTGCAGAATAGTAGGGACAGGACCATGCTTCATTCATCTGGGGCAAGAGGAGGTTTTGCCTGATGCACCATAAAACACAAGTTGTGGGGTTTTTGTTGCTCTCTTCACTTGGAATTGTCAGCATTTCTCCCCTTTCCCCCTTTGTTAATTTTAGTTTTAAAGCCATGGTGATGTTAAACACTCTAACTGCATGTGACAGCAGCAATAAAGCTAGTCAGCCCCAAAAGGTTAACTGCAAACATGTGTGGCCACTGCTGCTGCTTGTACTTTGGCAGCACAGCTGCTGTAGGAAATGGATGTGCCCCAAAATCAACATGACTTTGTAGACCTAGACACCAGAAATCAAAAAGCTCTGTTTGTGGTGGTGTGGTGTTTTTGTTTTTTTTTTTTTTTTCCCCTGGTTTGCTGTTGCTCTCTTCTGATGGTGCTGCAGTCAGATACTACCAGCATCACGCTGGCTCTTGCCATTGCTGTGGCACTGGCAGTGGCTGGCTCTGTGCTCCCTTCCGAAATGCTGGGCAGGCATGTGAGCCTGGTGCTGGGAGCTGCCAGAAATGCCTGGCCATGCCATGGCCTGTGGTGGAGGGGAGAGGGAAGGTGTGAGGCTGCAGGAGCAAAGGCATCTCGTCCCATGCAGGCATTGGATAGAGGATGGAAGGTCCTCACTTACCCTTCCCTTGGCTTTTCCAGCTGCACAGAAGCAGAAGGTCTTTACCTCTCTTTTTTTCTCTGTATGCATCCTCCTTTTCTTCTCCTGCTTTCCTGCTTCTGAATTCCATGACTTGCTGCACAAGTAGGGATGTGTAGGCAGGGAATATGCTGTGCGCTTGAGTTAGGGTAACCTTTGTGCTGGGGAGATGTCACGTTTTCTTCTCTAAATGTGATGGAAATAAATGTCTGGGGAAGGGGACAAGGGAGGAATAGTTTTGAAGACAGATGGGTGAGTATTGACACGCAGAGATTGTTTTCCCTAGCTATACAAATTTGCTTAATGAATGTCTTGTTTTCTTTCAGGGGCTTTTCCCACCGGGTCAAGGAGCCACGATTGGGGTTGACTTTATGATTAAAACTGTGGAGATAAATGGTGAAAAAGTAAAGGTAGGCATCTGATGGTTTTAAGTATAAGCTGATGTAGCAGTAGCATGGCTGAGGTTTCTTGCTGCAGGCCTGCTGCTGCTGGAAGGTTCATGGGGAAGCCCAGGGCTGTCTGGCTTGGCACAGATGGTGCTGAGTCTAACAACCTTTACAATCAGGATCATAACAGTGAACCTACTTTAAGGGAGAAAATGAAAAGGGAAGATCTTGCAAAACTGTTCTTGCTTAGGAGGCACTAAGCTGTGCCTGGCTGGGGCTGAGGAAGCACAATGAAGTACTTCACTGCAGCCTCTGCTCACAGCATTTCTGGTAAGCAGAAATCTGTTGCATTCCCACTGGGATGTGCTTGATGAAGATCTTCTGTGAGCTCCCAGGATGGCCACTGGGGAGAGCAGGCTTCTGGACTTGCACAGTTATGTGCAATGAAGGCTCACCTTCCACTGCTGCTGAGTTACAGATTGAGGAGAGGTAGAGGCTATCACAATACTGGTACTTTGGTCAACAGGTTGAATTGAGAAGGGCAATGTTCTCCATATTATTAACCTTTTCACACTCCAAAATAGGTTGTTTGCAACCAAACTGCTGCTGAAAAACTGTCCTTGTCCTGTGCCATCTCCCAAACTGACCCTGAGCATCACTTGGCAGAGAACTACATTTCCTGGGCCAAAAAAAAACCAGGGACTAATCTCATGTTTAATAGGATCCATGGTTGGGTTCCAGCACATAGAGATGTTGGTTGATGCTGCTTTGTTCATTGGTAGAAATTTTGCTCAAGTTGCTGTAGTGCCCAAGAGGTGGGAGAAGAGTATGCTTCTCTGAGCCTCTAATGCCAGGGTGTCCAGGGTCCCTGAGCTGCTGCTGGAATTACTTTGCCTACATTAAATCCAAGGACATCAATGTGAAAAGCAGCAGTTTTCCCTTTGCTGCCTTCATCAAATCTGGTAGTGAGCAAATGGGAGACTGGAAGAAGTGTGACAGTGGCTGGAGGTGACATTGAGACCCATTTTTAAGCTTGTGTAAGTGATGGGATGAGAACAGTGGACTTGTGCAATATTCAGCCCTGGGGTTTTTTAACCTGTGTTTCAGCACAGACGTTTTTTAAAAAGAAAATCAGGTGGTGTATTCTTAAGTTTAAGATGGACTTTAAAAGCCACGATGAAGTCAGCAGGATGCCACCCCACTGTGTGAGGAACTGTACAAACCTATGGCAAGTGGTGGTCCCTGCCCAGGAACTTTCCAGCCTGAGCAGGTGAAGGACAGTGGTGTAAATACTTTCCCCTGATAAAGAGCAAGTTAATATTCAGCAAACCTCCATGTAAGTGGGATGGAGCAGCAGGCAGGAAAACAGTGACGATCATGTGTAGCTCCTGTGGTGCTGGTGCTTAGCTCGGTGGTTTTCATGCTCATTAGCAGGCATCTGGTGTAGCAGGTTGGCCAGGACACGGATGCTACTTGTCCAGGCTCCTCTGACAGCAGAGATGCTTCTTTCAGAAAAAAACAGCTCCAGTGGAGTGAGCAGCCCAGAGGATCTAAGCTGGTAAATGGCTTGAGTACTGCACTGAAGGTGGAATTAATTTCTTTTCCCTTACATACCTGGCTTAAAGCTGTCTCAAGATTGTCCTGGTCAATGGAGAGAGAAATGTAATCTTGAGGAAGACGAATTCCATCCACTTCAGACTCCTCTCCCTTCCAAGCATCTGGTTCCCTGTCAAGTACAGGGGGAGCCTTAAGAACATCATTTATGTCTGAGATCTGGTTTTTGGACAGGTGAACTCACCCTAGGGGTTTGTCTGCATTTGACTTCTTGCTCTCATGACATAATCCTGTTATAAAACTATCTTGGACTGAGGATGTGAACTCCTTAAGAGAACTTTGGGAGCAGTCATGCCACATGGGCTCTCTCTGGGGCAACGACAGTTCAGGGAAGCTCTGCAAGCTAAACGAAAACCTGTCAGTGTGGTAAGCCCCTGCTGCCCTGTAAAGATCTGATGAATACACAACTGTCCACCCAAGCAATTCAGTCACCTTGAGGCTGGCTTGTTTCACAGAGCTGTAGCAAATGGTAGCTGGTATAGCAGCTGTATTTCACACAGCAAATAACGAGCTGTTAAATCAAAGTCCCTCTCCTGACTGCACTAGTGAAGTAAATTGGAGTTGCTGGAACTCAGTCACAATGACCAGGCTTAGAAGCAGGCTTAGTAAGATATGCTTGGGCATTTGAATGAGCTTTCTGGAGTACGAAAGGCACATAGATAGTTTTTTTTTTTCCTGTAGCCCAAACTTTTTGAGTAAGCAGTTCTAGTGAGAGTAAACAGTTAATGAGTGAGAAAACCAGGAATGAGTTGGAGCACAGAGCAATAAAAATGACATCTCAGTCAAACGAGGCACTTCTCTGAGTGTGAGCTCATTTAACAGTGCAGGAGCTGTGACTCTGCTTCTGTGCTGGGCAGCATCTCCTGCATGTCTGCTGGGATCCAGGCTGAGAGAGCAGAGCTGTTTACTGAGGAGGTTTTCAGACTTGAAACTAAATGATATCTTTCTGGGGAAAAATACTTTCCAGCTTTCAAAATTGCGTTTCAGAGTCAGTGGAGAGGGACTTGCTAGCATGGAAGCTGTGTGCAAGCCATGTGAGAGATGAGTGGCTACTAAAGCTCACTGCCAGGTGAGCTGAGACAGTGCTGTGCAGCTGAGGAGGCTCTTGATCTGCCTGGATTTTCCAAATGAAACAAAAAATATATACAACACCTGTACAGACTGGCTACACAAATTCAAGGCAAGTAGATAGTTATCATGCTATCAAAGCTCGGGCTCCTCAGTGCTGCAGAGGGCTTTGCTGTAGGGACCTGTGACCTCAGTGTACTTGGTGGAAATGTTCATGTGCATAAAGCTCAATGTACATGCAAATGGGAGAGCGAGAAGCATCAGCTGGCTCCAAGAAAATAAATATCTGGATTTTCTGCATGCTGAGTCAGACACTGCCCTTTGGTTCCTTGGAAAAAACAGTACAAGTAAAATGGTTGCTGTGAAATATTTTATTTGGCAGAAATGATCAGTGGTGTGAAGTGTGAGATGTGAATTTTGTCAGCTTGGAGATCTTATCAATAAATGCAAAACGTATATAAGCTGGAGTTAACCAGTAAACCTATCAGTAAATGTTTGTCATTTATTGATACAAATGAAACAGCTGAGCAACAACAAAATTATCTGTGTTTTTACATCTGCCAGAGTCTGGAGACTGTTTTTATTTTAATAGGGACTCCTTCATTATCTGAATTTCACTTACTATTTTGTGTCACTTAATTGCAGATGCCAGGTTCAGCTCTTTAAATACAATGCCAAGAGATTAAGCACAAAGGTGCCCAGGAGTTGTAACCCAGCCACAAATTACTTGCTCTGCAAAAAATGTACTTTTCAGAAATCATACCCCACTTCTGAAAGCTGCTGTTGGGAGCTCTGATTTCAAACTAACACTCTTTATGATGAATAGCTGGCATAGTTCAACTCTGGAACTGGGCAAGAATAAGGTTTTCTTTGTTACGGGCTGCTGAATATATGGAAAAAATCTCAAATACTTTACCTTTCTCTTCCCAAAGTACACAGAATTCTGGCTGGAAATCGCCCTTTCACATGCTTAATTCCAGGGAGGGGTGCTTTAAAAAAAAAAAATAAGTTGAAACAGAGAAGTGGTCTTTTATATTGAAATTTTAAAACTTTGGATGTTTGTTTCTTTGACTGCCTTTTTGAAGAACTGAGGTTTTGCTGACCCACCAAACGCTATCAGACGGTCAAATTATAAAAACCAGTATGAGTTTAGTTTGTGTTGGGAAATGTTGTCTTTCTGGACCCAGAGGGTTTGGCAGACACTCATGGACTCTTTGATGTAGTTAAGGACGTGTCAACAAGTTCTACATGCTGGGAAGGCAGGCAGCCCCTGGAGCAGCCTTCAGCTGAGCTCGTTGTTCCATCCTGTGGTTTTCACCCTCCAGTGCATCATCTCGGGATAACTATTAGAAGCTTTGGGAGCTAGAGGAGGGGCTTTCCTATTTCTTCTTGGGATGGAGGCTACTTCAGGTTGGATTTCAGGGTTGACTTGATCCCTCCTGCATTGTGACTCCAGGCCAGTAGCTCAGTCTGCAGCTGAGGTTGATGCTGGAAGTCGCATGAACGCCCACAGACCTGTAGCTCCCTGGGGCTGCTGGCTGCTGTGCCAGCTGACTTTGTGCCTTGCCTTTCAATCCACAAGTGCAGGAACAGAAACAAAAAACACTGGAGGGGAGAGGAAGCCAAAGGGGAGAAGAGCTAAGTGCTTTCCCAGCATTGCTTGTACCCTGAAGGAGTTTCGAGTCAAAACAGTGCTGCTATCAAAGTAAAAATAATTGATTTTTATTTTTCCTTTTACCACTGTTCCTTGTGGTGGCCAAAGCTGCAGATCTGGGACACGGCAGGGCAGGAGCGGTTCCGCTCCATCACGCAGAGCTACTACCGCAGCGCCAACGCCCTCATCCTCACCTACGACGTCACGTGCGAGGAGTCCTTCCGCTGCCTCCCCGAGTGGCTGCGGGAGATCGAGCAGTACGCCAGCAACAAGGTCATCACCGTGCTCGTGGGTAAGCCACCGCCCGCCCCGAGGGGCCCCGCCTCGCCGGGCCTTGCTGGCAGATGGGGCTGTGAGCGGGAGGAGAACGGGGCGCCGCTGTGAACTTGCTGCTACGGGGTGTTCAAACTGGTGCAGCAGATCTTGGTGCCAACCAGAGCTGTGACTGCGGGTGGGCGCAGGGTGCAAACGGTGCCTTCAAGTCAGGGCTTGGACCATTCTTTCTGCAGATAACCCCAAGACGCGGATTGTGATGTTCAGGACACCGCAGGCACTTCTCCAAGTGTGGTTCCATCTCAGGGCAGTGGGATATTAGGAATATAGGATATTGGGAAGAATTTCTTCACTGAGAGTGGTTAGGCACTGGAGTGGGCTGCCCAAGGAGGGGGTGGAGTCATCGTCCCGGGAGGTTGTCAAAAAAACGAGTAGGTGTAGCACTTGAGGCTGTGGTCTAGTGATTGGGGAGATGCTGGGAGGAAGGTTGGCACTGATGATCCTAGAGAGCCTTTTCAACCACAGTGATTCTATGATTCTAGGTCTAAGGCTATTGCATGCAGAGGTGGATACTCCCCACCAGTTGGCCCTGTAAGGGACTAAAGTGGTGATGGTGCAGCTACAAACTGAGCTAAGAATAGAGCAGTTTCCCTTGTGACTGCCAGCAGGGATCTGTACAAATAGACATGTGTTTGCTCAAGTTGGAGTTGCCTCCGGGTTGCGCTGCCTCATAGCTGTGGGACAGCCAGTCTTGTCTCAAGTGGATCAGGATCTGGGAACCAGATCAGGATGTGATGGTCATGTGGATCATAGCATTTGTAGGTGGGACAGAGCTGGAAAACTGGCTATTTTTGCATGGATTTTAGGGAAGCTAAGAATAAATACCTGGATGTTATATTAATCTGTAGTGCTTCCACTTGAGCAAAAGCAGACCTCAGGCCCTGTCTGCTGCAAGTGAGGTGAAGGCTGTTTGGCCTGCCCATGTTTATCCATGCTCTGCTCTCAGCATCTGATAGTCAGGACTTGACTTTTAAAGGCCCAAGAGTTGAAAAATTAACTTGGGGAAAGCGAAAAAGTTTCATGCTGCAGCATTTAAAGAAAACTGTTTAAAATAAAAGATTTAGAGGATTGTGAAATATATTCAATGTGACTTTAAAAATCTTTTGAGCTTCACATACTCCAGTGGTATTGCAAGTGAGCTTGGGATTTACAGAGCTTCCATACAAGAAACTCATGATATTGCATGAGAAGGGTATGACATGTACAAATGGTGCAGAAATTATATATGACTAATAAATGGATAATTGGCTTTTTTCGGGAACATTAATTATCAATATCTACAGCACAAAATATAAATGTTAACAGCCTTAACATACGCTTTGAAGTTGGCGACACCTGTAAACCTTTTGCATTGAGGGATAATTTGTCTAGGAAGGTAACTTCAGTGTATACAGTGGGACCAAGAAACTGCTTTATCAGGAAAGAAAGGGGATCTCAGGTGAGAGGAGGTCAATAAGATGTGGCTTGCCAGTGGAAGTGCAGTCTTTTCCTCCCACTACTTCTCACAGAATTGCTGATAGAAGCAGGGCCAGCAGATGTTTCCTCCTGAACCTGCCAGGTCTCTAGACACAGGCCCCACCCCCCCCCGACTGTAGCAAGTCCTGGTCTGTTATCTTCACTGTAAGATTAATTAATGACAAAAATACCAAGTTTGAAGTGAAGTGGCTGGTAATAGGGTATAATCAAACTAGATGCTTGCTTGAGGCTTTAATCCACTCTGCTACATTGAGCTCTCTGAAGGGAGGGGCTGGTTTCTTGCTCCACCTGGCTTTGTGAGTGTCCCCCAAGTCCATCCCTCTTCTAGCCTCACCAGCCAAATCCTCCACAGAAATACTGAAATAAAAAAAAACTGCCCTCCATGCCAGGCTTCTTTTAAAGCTTGTCATGACATAAGAAATACCATGTTTAGTGTCTCACGTGCTATAATTGACATTATAAGTGCTTCTCTGAGCAAGAACAGGAGAATACTCAATAGATATTAAAATGGAAATCCTCTAATGTTGGTTAATAGCAGCAAACAGATGCACAGGTGTTAAATTAAAGATAACTGACTTGAATGTTCACGGGGCATATTCCATTAAATGAGCTGATATTAAATGGACTAGGTCATGTGCATCAGGGAATCCATTATTTGGAGAGGAGAGCAAGCACTAAGCTTCACATCAAAACCCCTGTCCATACATATATACACCACCAAACTCTTCTTTATCTCTTGTTTTGGAAGTCAAATTAATTCCTTTTCTAAACTGTTTTGTCAATGCAGGTAATAAGATTGATTTAGCCGATAAGAGGGAAGTCTCCCAGCAAAGAGCTGCAGAGTTTTCTGAAGCACAGGACATGTACTACTTGGAAACCTCTGCAAAAGAATCGGATAATGTGGAAAAACTCTTCCTGGACTTGGCCTGTCGGTTGATCAGCGAGGCACGACAGAACGCCCTTGTGAACAATGTCTCATCCCCCTTACCAGGAGAGGGGAAAAGTATCAGCTACTTGACTTGCTGTAATTTCAATTAAAGAGCTGGCATGTGATTTCTGCTTCCACCATGGGCCAAGAAGATTTTTGGCTTTTGCTGGGATTTACCTACTGAAAGGGAATTCCTGTCACTTTGACCCACCTGACTTACCCTGAGTCAGGTTGCAGACCTGGAAGCATGGCAGGCTGACAGTTCCAGCTGCATGGCAACGTAGCAGAATAAAACACAGTTTAAATGTCATTTTTCTTGCAGTCCCTGGAGTGAGTTAGGAAGAGAAGAGTTGCACAAGTGCTCCATGTAATGTAGAACATGAGCTATTTCATTTCCTTCTATGGGAGACTAGAGCAGCATCTCTTGAAGATATTGAAGAGATGAAAATCTCTATTGCAGAACAATGTGTTTTGATCCTTTTTAAAATAAATAAAACCCCCAACAATGAGCACTGACCCTGGACCACACTGGCAATCTTCTGGGCTGCCAGGGCGTGGGCTCTTGGGACATGTACATAGCGTCTGCCCATGTGTCTTTGTGGAGGACTCTGGTGTTTGAAGTAGTGTTCTGTCTCTCATTTAAAGGCATTTTCATGAACATGGGATTAAAAAAAGTTACATAACTCAAATCTTCAAGATTTAAGATGACATGGATACAGCTCAGTTGCTCCCTTTGGTGCTAAGAGTTCAGCAAATATCCATAGACCAAATGCAGTCTTACTACATTACTGTCCTCTGAATGTGTAACTTAGACTGCTAGGAAAAAAAAAAAAAAACACTAATAAGCACTGTTCATAAAAATAAAAAAGTCTCATTACCTCTTTTTCTAGACCTGAACATAGTGGGAAAGGACTGTGCTTCTTTGATATCAAACACAGGATGAAAAGACTTTCCAGAAATAAATTAAAATTAAAAATTAACAGTTCCTTCTCTAATTAGTAATGTCCTAATGTGGAAAATGAGCCTTGAGGAAGGTTATTGGTGGACTTGGAAAAAGTGCACCAGATATAATCAAAATCTTATGCGTGCATGGATTGTGTATAAGGGTTCAAAGAGAGCACAGTTTGAGGTGTCAGTCTGCAATATGTCCAGCTTAATCTAAATCCAACTTACATGCAGTTCTTGTTGAAAGGCAAGTGGATAATTTTATAGAGGGTTTTTCTTATGCTAACTGGAAATAGGGACAGGTTGCAAGTGGTAACATTCTGTGCCTGAGCCAGCCAGCGTTCACCTTGTGGATCTGCTCTCCAAGACTCTGGTGAAGATATCTTCTTGGCATCCAGTCTCTCTGCTAGAGCAGCTTTCAAGTTCAGGGCTATAGAGTCATTTAATTTCCTTCATGCTTTGTACTCTGAATCCCAGACTCCAGTGTAGGGCAACTGTTTAGGCAGTTTCTTTCTACAAACCCCCTGAAGTGGAAGCACTATGGGGTTTACAATGTTATTACACCTCTAGTGCCATATGTGAATAATGCATTGCAAATTTACACGTTGACATCAAAGTGAAATTGGAAGATGGTGAATACATACATGAAGAATTATATTTATAAGTCTGAGTTCAGTTTAGCTAATCTGGATAAATCTCTCCTGGCAATTACATGGCTCTGATGTGCTGTAACTTCATCAGTAGGGGTCAAATAATATTAAAATGATTATTATAACAGAGCTTTTTGTATTGACATAAAAGCTGCCAGAAAGTACCTCTTGAAAAGAATAACAATTAAAAAAAAAAGGCATCCTAAAATTCTTTTTCATGGAAAGACTACTTTGGGCTGTATCATGTTGTGCCTTTGATCTGTAGTGGGGAGCTGACTGTGTCATATGGCCATTTGTAATGTTTTCTTGCTATTTTTAGGTCACTTTCTTTTATGACTAGTGATACAAATGAAGATATACAAGTTGTGGTATGAAGCTTGTTTGTTATTTAGGTAACACTTAGCAAAGAGCTTCTGTAGGTGTGAGATATTGGAGGACATGTCATCTGCTGTGCTGTCCTGGTCCTTTTCAGTCTCTGCTCATGGTGTAATCTAAAGGATTTAGAAGTGTGTGGGACTCGGTGGCTTCTGCTGTGCTGGACCATGTGGTACAACCTGTGCTGAATAGCAGTGTCTTCCCTGAGCATTCCTCAAACTGCCAAATGCTTCATTTGAGCTTACGAAGACCACCCAACTCTGAGGCAGCTGATTCTGCAGAGCTCTTAGGTAGTTGTTTAGAGCAAGGCTCAGGGTGTTACATGTAAAGTGACACTGAAGTTAAAAATCAATACTATGTATATTTAATTTGTAAAGGCTCTGACTCTCGAGATGCTGGACTTGTCAGTGCATTGTTGATAACAAGTAGGGCTAGGCTGTTTGGTGGAGTTACTCAAGGAGTCTGCCCACTAAAGCACCTGTGGGTTCCCCAGCCGGAGTTCCAAAAGCATCCAAGCTGGGCAGGTACTTTTCATTGCTGCTGAGTAGCACTGTAAATGCATTTTAAAGTGCTTCTTGCATCACTTCTGGAGGTTGAATTCTACCACGTTACCATGACTGAACAAGCTGAACTGGTCAAATAGCAGAAACGACTAACTTTATTTTCTTGGCTATTTGCTCTGAGGTCTTTAGAAGGCTGTCTCTTTTTCTAGTGCTTTCCTAACCTGGAGGTGGCTATTTTGAGAGTAGTTGCCTACTAGCAACCTTGAAGTATTGGTTCTCTTTATTGCTAGCAAATATTCTCCGTGTAAGGACTGAGTCTTCAATGATGTGCTTTTGCAGTGAGGTAGAGTGCTGCAGTTGGGCTGATGTTACAGTGAAGTATCTGACTTCTCCAGGGACAAATCTGGACCAATTTCTTTCAAGGTTTATTCTGTGTAGACTTAAAAAGTTGAAAGGAAGCAATGGTGGTGGTATGTGTAACGTTTATATAAGGTCATAAGCCAAAGCTGTAGTGTGAAGCTAATTTATTTTTTTGCAAATAACACACACAATAGCTGTTGAAAAAGTGATATTTTATTGTAGTAACTCCTTTGCAGGAGTTATTTTTGTACACCTTTATATATATTTCTCTAGTGCATACAACCCAAATCTCCTTGTAGCATTGAGGGCTTATCTTCTAGAGTCTGGTCCACTGCTGAAGGCTTCCCAACCAGAAAAGGAGCTTTTTCTACTGCTACCAGCAACTCAGTGCTGTGAGCATAGTGATCAAAGTCTTGAAAAAGAAAAGGAGGTAAAAACTGCAAATCCAAGCTATCTGACAATCATCTCTCAACTATGGCCAAAAACACCTTGATAGAGGAGTGGATTTTTTAGAGAGCTGGACAAGTGTCTAAAAGCCATGCAGAATTGATACAGTGAGACCATATTTGACTGGAGAGGTTCTCTTATCATCCAGAGAGCCAAGTATTGCTAGACTTTTGATGTGTTTTCAGAGTGATATATTCACACCCATGGAGTAAGCTGCTTATTTCTGGATGAATTTTTATTGTAGTTCCATAATGAGACCTTTTTGTGACTTTTTGAGCAGAATGTGTTAGCTCCAAGCAGAATCCAGTATTGGATGGTCAGCAGATGTTTGCTTTATCTAGCAATCCTGTTTGCAGAGATTAGTAAGAGCATCTCCTGCAAACTGGATGATGTAACCTGTTTTCCAGTTCAGCCACTGATTCAGTCAGGCTGCACTTGAGTAAACCACCAAGTCTTCTGTGTGAAGGTCACTGCATTTGAAGTCCTTGCTGGTTTTTTTGCATTGGATATTTACATGGCAAGTTTGCTGGGACAAGCCATGACTTCTGTTCCTACTTGTGTTCCCTGTGAGAGACCAATTACTAGAGAAAAAAAAACCACACCTTCAGAGCAAAGAGTTATGATGGAAGAAGTGAAATTATGAACTCTGTAAAGAAGGGGACACCCAGTGCCTCTTTCTACCTCTAACACTGGCGTTCTGATTTGACCTACAGGTACATTATTTGTGCAGTCAGATGTATGGTTGTGCTGAATGCTAAATGGCTTTGTGATCATTATTTAATGAAAACCACACATGGCAAATTGTCAGGCAGGATACTTTGTTCTTTGCTACAGAACACATGAAACAGCCCTTTAGATCTGTCAGCCTGCTGGTGCTGTTTGTCTTTTTGGAAATAGCTCTATTGCTAACGGTTGGCTCCTGTTAGTCTAGGTTTAGTGGTTAATGACTGTTGAATTCCTGCAGCATCAATAATAACAGCAGCGGACTGAGGTTGACACAGGAGACAGTGATTTGAAAAGAGGGAGAGTTGAAATTAGTGATGCAGAAGCATGGTGGGTGCCCACACGTAAGACAACAGGCTTCCCTGAGCTTTTGCTGACAAGGGATGCAGTTAGGTGTAGTCAAACCCACTGGGTTTTACCTTGTTTGTTATCCCTAAGGATCACTGTTCAGCTGCTTTTCCAGTTATCTTGCTCTTTTTGGTATGAAGAACTGTCTATAAATCAGGCCGAGATGCTGAGCTGGCACAATATCTGGAGTTGGAGACTGAATTCAGTTGGAAAATAGGTTGCATTCTCCGGCTACTAAAACGTGTAAGCTACACTGCCTTTTGGGGACCTGTGGTGCCATTGTGGTTGGATATGGCTGGAGACACCATCACAGAAACCCTCTCCTGGCGGTGGGGCAGGCTGAGTCCTACAGGCCTTTGTGGAAGGGGAGAACATGCAAAGTAAAGAGATGGTTCTACTCGCTCAGGATTTTCTCAGTCCCATCAGCTCTTGAAAAAAATCCATCTATGGCTTTGATTTTGATTTGTCTAGACTTCAATAAGGGATGCTTTGAATTGGAGTCTCATCTGAAATTCTTCTGCTTTCTTCTGCTTTCAGTATCAAAGCACCCAATATCCTTAAACAGGTTGCTCCTACCAAACCAGATTTTTTTTGAGTTAATTCAGTTAGGAAAAGGTGTTTCTAGAGGACACTTTATGAATTTCTAATAAGCAAGTATGGAAATTCTCTGAAGTGTTCATGTACATAAGAGATCACCAGAAAATCCTCTAGAGCCAAAGGAAATATTATAATCAATTCCAGTAGTGAAAACCCTATGAAAGATTTGTATCAAAATGTTTTCTTTGTTTATAAACTTTTATTTGCTCATCTGAACAAATTTGGCTCTTGACATGACCTTTTTTCCTTGTGTCCTATTGACTTCCTCTTGTCTTATCCTCTTGTTGCTGTGGGTAATAATTGTTGCAGTTACTGTTCACAAGCAGCAGAGAATCAGCATTTTGAAGGACAGTCTTCTGGTCTTGTGATGAGTGGTGGGGAAACACTACCTTGATTTCCTACAAGCAAATAGTACATCCTAGGCAAAGCACCCTTGACTGAAACTGGTCATGTCTTAGAAATGTGATCATCCACTTGAGCTGTAGTTAAATGTACCATAAAGGTTACAGATCTCACATCTGCCTCTTTATCTTGGCTA